AAAAAAAAAAAAAAAACAAAAAAAAAACAGACAGCAAAACAAAACAAAATGGCCAGGGGAGCCGCTACAGCTTAGCCAATTACAGCGGTCCCCTAGTTCATCTATCAATTGTGGAAACTTTTTTAAACAAAATCATAATTACTTTAAATGCGCTTTATTTTCCTTTAAATCCCCCATTCGTTGTGCCCTCTTAAGAACGTAGTCTCTCTAGAATGTATAAAAACAGTATTCTGAACAGTGGAACCTCAAATTGTAACCACCCCGTAAAGACAATTACTTTTTTTTTATCACGGCCACATTTTGGACGGAAATCTTAGCTTTCTTATGGTTTGGTTTATTTAGGATAACGAAGATGAGGAAAACGCGGAGATTCCCGAAGACGCGCACAATTTTGACGAGGAAGTAGGTGTGCTTGCGGACGAAGAGACATCAGAAATGCAAGAAGAGGAACTGCAGAGGAGTAGAAAGGAGAGCGACTTGTCAGTGACAAGTGATATCGATATGGATGAACTTGAGCGGTCATTAGAAGAGGCACAGAGGATTCCACGAAGCAGTCCTGAGGGGAAAGAGAGCGAAGATAAAAAGCCATTTATTCGACCACTGGAATACGACGAGAGTGATTTTGAGGATGACTCGAGCGAGCAAACACCCCTCTCTATCATTCAGGAAGAGGATGAGGAAGATCTGTCCGAATCGGTACCTTTTCCGAGCAACATCTCGCGATCTCACTCGGCTTCCGAAGGGTTCGAGAGCGACGATGACGTCATGGATTTGCTTGAAGAAGACGAGCCGACGGGTCAAGGCATGAACTTCGGTAGTGTTCGTAAAATTTCGCAAACCGAAAGAACTTCCGTGCAGAACTCTCAGCCCGACGTTGAAACGTCGGACGGTATGGGCTTCGGAAAATACCTAGCGCAGAGTAGCGAGCAGCCGAAAGTTGACGCTTCTCTTGATAGCATCAGACTTGAAGAGGACCAGAGTGAACTGGGTGAAAATGACGGCTTAGAACACACATACAGTGATACAGAGGCTGACCACGGTGGAGTCGAGAGGAGTTCGACTCCTCTTGATGATGAACAGGGGATGGAGCAGCAGGAGGAAGCACTTCGCCGTCCTGTTTACGACGAGACTGCACCGGCAACAGAAAGGCAGGCTCCTTGTGATGAGGGGTACGTCGGTGAAATGGCCCCAGGGGAACGAGTGCGGGTGTTTTTAGCTCTTTATGATTACGACCCCTCCACCATGTCCCCAAATCCTGATGCTGAAGAGGAAGAACTGGCATTTAATGAGGGAGACCTTATTAAGGTAAGCAAGTGGTGTGCACCGTTTAGACAGTTGATTACTTAGTACACGTCGTTCGAAAACGGAAGAAATTTAAACCTTATTTGGTCGTGAAATTGTGGTTTGGTGAGGTTTTGGTATTCCGCGACTCAAACTTGCATTCTTTACCCGCAAATTGTTAAAATGTAGGAGTTGCCACGGCTTTAATTTTATAGTGGAATTTAGTATAGTAGAAATACCTGTTTCTTTAGCCGGGTGTGAAGCGCCTATGTTTGTGGTTTTGTTGCAGAAGTAACTTATGAATTAAGATGATCGCAATAGTTTTAACGCTTAGTTAAAGTAAGCTATTTTCACGGAGCCTGTTATTGCAGTTCTCCGGTAAAGTACTGCAACTTCAAAGAGGTAACGCTTTTTTTCATAACAGATTTGCGCGTTATCGTCATTTGACAACAACTACCAGAATTCCTTTCATTTTTTCTTTATTATTTAAATTTTGAAGTGTGGGATTTAAATAACAATTTCCATAATTGCCGGAGGATTCTTGTGGTCAAATGACGCCATCTTGCAAATCGCCTGTTGCGTCAAGTGACCTGGTTTTCGTGTTTACTAGGTGTACGGGGACAAGGACGAAGATGGTTTCTTCTGGGGTGAATTAAACGGCCAAGCGGGTTACATTCCGTTTAACATGGTGTCAGAAATTGAACTGGAGGATGAAGAATCCGTCAGCAATGTAACCACTCCTTCTGTAAATGTTACCCAAGAATCGACCCAGCCCCCTGAGGAGAGTCCCAGCCAAGAGCCAGAAGCCGTCCCCAGGCCCTCTGAAAACTTGCTTGAAGAGGTCATACTGGAAGAAAACGAATTTGACGACCCGAGGGAGAGCGACAACTATCAACTGCCTCCCAGACGAATGGTTGCGCTGTTTGATTACGATCCACAGACTTTGTCGCCCAACCCTGATAGTGAGGTGGGAAAAGATCAGGGAAAATAATAAAAGATAAATAATTGTTAATGGCTGAGTTACTGCTTGGTAGTCCTGTCAGTAATTTTGCGGAGAATGTTGCTCGTGATGTTACAGCATGTGGCCCCGTTGATTGTAACAGTTACACCGTGTATCTGGTCCGTTATTAAAACGAACTTTAGTCTGTCCACAGACGTTTATTTTTTTGCTACGAGTGATTTTCTTGGAGCGCGCGAGGGATGCGAGGGCGCGAGATTGAGAGCGAGCGTGGAGCGCGTGAGGCCAGGAAGCGGGCGCCAAAAACATTATCCTCTGCCACCCCCTTGCATGCGGGCTTTTTCAAATCCCCTCTTGCGATCAAGGCAAAGGACAAAATAGAGGGTCTGAGTACAGACTAAACGAACTCAGGAATTTGAGGGTATCTCCTCAAAGCTTTTCATTACATGCTTTGAGTGAAAACTACGACATAGCGTTCGTATTTACGTAATCTTCTCATTTGTTATTTCTCAGGTAGAACTGAAGTTTAGGGTTGGAGATGTTATCTATGTGTACGGTGACATGGACGAGGATGGCTTCTTCTCGGTGAGTGAAATCACGTCCCCGTGAGCGCCGTTTGAGATTTTGAAAATGGTTGTCCGTGAATTGCAAAAAGTAGCGTTTATAAAAGAATGTATGTATGGAACAAATGTTGGGAAGTTTCCTTTGTCGAGTTTGCACGGTATTTATTTGCTTTTTTTCTTGCCTTGCAGGGTGAGCTCCGTGGAGTGCGCGGTTTGGTTCCCTCGAATTTTCTTGAAGATTTGTCCGATCCAGATGACGTTCCCCACCATGACAACAGCAATGACAGCGATGTAACAGTAAGTTGATTCACTTCTATTTCGTCTGACTTGTTGACTTTCTTCACATCTGGGCTCTCTGTAGCTATTCCTGTCGGCGTTTATTGATTTGTATCATTCCTGGTAGAACTTGTGACGTTATCGATCGTTCGTTCATGCCTCTTTTTGTTTAATTGTCTTGAACTTCCCTGATCTAAGAGTTGCTTGTTTCCTCCGCAAATATGTCCTATGTTTAAAGTTTCAATGACTTACTTTGGCTATGCTCACCACTTTGAGTTCTCCTTTCATCAAACAGTGATGTCTACGAATTCTAGTCTTATAGTTTTAACTTTTCGATGAAATACTTAAGTTTCGATCAAAGACAACGGCAAATGTAAAATTATTCTATAAATTTCCACCCGAGATAAACACAAGTTGAAGGTATATGGTTGATCCCTGAGATAAAGAACCTTAAATATTGATTTTTTTTTTTTTACGCGTTGGTTATTTAAGGCGCTACAGCATTGATTGTTTTTCGCTGTAGTTATCGGGGAACTGAGTACATTAGAACGGTATCCGAAAATTCAATGAGCGAGCGGTAGTCCTCAGAGAAGTTGCTTAGCAACGTGACATATTCTTATGGCGCCATGTTGACGTGACGCCTTTCGCATGGCTAGTGAGTGCTTGTGCTGTATTTTCATTGGATAATAAGCATCGGAAACGGCTCGAGTGGTTCTGCGAAGATTCTCCGTTAACGTCACTCGTTTCCCCGATTGTGGACCTGGCGTTTTGTTGTTGTCTGTTTAATTATCTTTCTCGTTTCATTGATCAAAACAGTTCATTGCTTGATGGCCTCTATAGAAGGAAGTTGCTAATGTGGAAGTTTCTTCTCTTTTCCTTACTTCTGGTATTTAACTTTTTTTTATCTTTCTACCTTTCTAATGCTTTTCGTACTTAACCTTTCACATTCATGTTCCACTCTTGCGTAAAGTCACTAAAACACGAGCGAAGGATCCTTTGCGAACTTTGACATATGGCAAAATGGAAACATTTGTTCATTAGAAATGAAAAGAATTGGTCTTGTACAAACTGCAAGCTCAACGTGTCTGTTTACCAATGCCATGCAAGCCAAGCAGTGTTCTCGGACGAAACAGTCGATCGTCGATTAATAGATCGAGTCTACGGTGATTGTCGTAGGAGTTGCTAAGTACTATAACGTTTCTTATTGGAGGTTTTGCCAATCTTAGATTTTTTTGACATTTCCAAATACCCAAGTTGTACCTCTGACAGTACAAAAGAAAAACAATGATACAGAAGTGGAAGGCTGGGAATAGATGGAAGCAAGTATGGTCGCTCTCGGTCTGCCGAAAAGTTTCCGATTCTTTTTGTCCAATCGCAAATTAGAACGAGCACCCGAAATCAAGACGAATGTTGTCACGTCTGCATTGCTCCGCAAGAAAGCGTCAGCGGCGTATCTTAGCGACATCTTTGACGGATACCTCAAGCTCAGTCAATGTTTGGATTGGTTTCCGACATAACACAGTTCCATTATACTTAGGTCCTCTTAAGGGTACTCCTGTAAGAGTTGTTCTTTCCTTAATCTCCGTTGAAGCAATCATTATCTGATATTTCATATTGGTCAGTGTTTCTAACTGTCATACTGTTAGGAATCTGCGCATTTTACTGTTATCTGAGTGAAGTGATGAACGACTTGGAACACTGACGAGCCAGGAAAAACTCGAAATTATGTTAGTACTACAAAACATGCCACAGTACAAGATTACTAACCATGCAGTCATAACATTTTCATTCTTCAATTCACTGCATGACTAGTTACCTTATCTGTATCGTTATTAACGATCAATTTTGACTGAAATTTTAATAACTTGCGATAATTCTTTAAACAAGTTCATTTTAATGGACGTTTTCGTTTCTTTTTTTGTGTTCATTTGCTTCCTTTGTTGTTTCCAAACCCTAGAAGCTCTTTTGCTGCATTCTTTTCGATTTCTTTAATTCTTATTTTCTCCTTTAGCTTTCTGTTAATCTTGCTCTCTTAAATGTTTTGACAAGCAGGGTTCGTACAATTTCTGATACTAAAATTTCCTGGACGTTCCCGTGACTGGATATCTGAAATTTCGACGGAAACTGATTGTTCACGGAATCTGTGAAAGAATTTGTCCACAAAATCTTGCTTCCTAGCTAAAATATTTTAAACTTTCCTTGACCAGTACGAAACTTGTTTCACTGACCGCTTTCATTACGAACGAGTTCTTGAATTAATTTGCAGAATATTGATGAACAATCAGCATCACGTAAAAGTATAGTTCAGTAGCTTTCACTTGACCACCAGGGTTTCATTCATTAACTTAAAAGTTCGAACAACATGGAGTGGCCAGTTTATTATTGTGTAAACCATAGTTAATAGAGGGGAATGGTTATGAAACTCGACAAAGCTCTTTGTTGTATGTTTTTGAACTCTTTTTTGGCCTTGGCCGTGCACAAAACACAATACATAGTTGTTTACTACTGACGGAGGAACTAACCAATAGAAACGTGTTGGTTACGTAACTCATGCATAGTATATGAACGCAAAACAAAAGACTGTGCACGGTCGTGGACCTTCCAACATAAATGTCGACATCTTTGTTCGCTCCTTTGATGTTTGCCGGGCTTCATAACCATTCCCTTCTATTGACTATGTGTAAACGTATCTTATAATTTGGAAGAAATTACAGTCCAACGTTACGGCGAGGAGCTTTGGAAACCCTTTTTCGTAATCTTGGTATCGTCACAGAAAAGTGCTGCCTGGCGACTAAAGTAACCCCTGTCAAGTAGATCAAACTTAAGTATAGACTAATCTAATCTATTCTTCACATGTTCTCTCAGGAATCTTCCATGGGTTCTTCAGACAAGTATAGCTCCCTAAATGGTACTCATCACGTGACAGAGGACACGCCTAAGAAGAAAAAAGGAATCTTTTCCAAGGGAAAACAAATGTTCAAGAAGATCGCAAAGGGTCACAACTCACCGCGGGGAAACAGTTCCAAGAGATAGCGCTGTTAGTCGAATTCTGCTGATTAAATTATTCACAATCGTTTGTACATTAGTGATCTGAATGAACGAAATTTAGTTTTATAGCCTTTAGAGAATTGTATTTTGTATCCGGGTTACATTTTATTCAGTGTAAATGGAAATACAGCTGTAAATGTGGGCTTGGCCCTTAATTTATATAATGAGCCCGATTTTTGGACTCGGGCTGCTTCCTGTGATACGGAAGTTATTTTACTTGCTGGTCAGATAATGTTATTATAGACATATTTTATTGACTTATTGCCAAGTCTCACTGGCTTGCAGTTTTCAGTTTTTCCCAGCTAGGCACAGAATATTCTAATGGATCGTTCTTATCCAAACACAACACAATGCACACTGCTTTCAACACGTTTTACCTTTCAAAAGCTGACAAGTGTTTGTATTTAATACGCTTCTTTCAAGAGAGAATCTGATTTGTACATTTTGTGTAAAGAAACCATATATTATATTACCTCAAGAGTGGTAGCTATTATCGATTAATATATTTAGCAGAGTTTTACCAATGTAGTCACAGAAAAGCCTTATTAATTAAAAACTATTTTACGGAGAGAATGTGCTACTAAAATTGGCTAAGTGGGTTTGGGGGCGTTTTGCTACAGTCTAAGATGTTAATTCAAGGGACCATTTCCAACTAAGAGAGGTGTCAGTCGTAAAGAGAGTTAGTTAAAAAACAAACAAACAAACAAACAAACAAACAAAAAACAAAATTCAGCGTGGATAAAGCAGCCAACTATATCCGCCTTAGCGTGGTGTTGTAACACCCAAGGAACGTGACTACCGTTGCCGAATGTCACGCATTATAATGTCACACTTACACTCTTGACGTTCTTTTCACCTAATCAGCTCCTAATATGTGACGGTCCATCAGAGATAAGTTTCCCTTTTAAACCAACCTTTCATACCCTTAACGAAAAATCGTTTTCGGCTAGCCAACAAATTTAATGAGTTACTTCGAGGGCACGAAAAACTATCCGGGGCTAGCTGCTGATTAAACTAAACCCAACAGTTAGTGGAGTTGGTATTTTTGTTTCTATTCGCTGAAAACTAATCACCAGTTCACTTGGTCGGACTGGAGGGGTTGGATAATAACCAGTTCATTAGGTACTTGAACTGTCCTACCAATGTCCAAACAGAACCTCGCCTGTGAGCTAACCAATATCGCCAGAAGGACTGGGGCTGATTGAGCGCGTGACGTAACGGTAATCTGCGATTGAGATGAGCCAATCACGAAGTCGATGCTGTTTCCATGGTAATCAATACCAACAAATTTTACTTGTGTGCCTCCCGGGAGAAGCATGGGTTTAAATTGGAGGTGTTTGTAATCGAGAAGCCGCAATCCGCCATAACCGAACAACACAGACTGCAAAAATCCCCCAGCACCCGTGATGAAGTTCACAGCGCCCCCACCGTCTGCTCCCTCGGTCCAAACCATGAACGGTTCCTTAGCGTTCACATAGCTTTCCCTGAATGAAGTCTCTGCACGGGCGTATTCCCCGACATCGAGCCAGTTGACCGCGAACATTGATTTAGTCATGGCGGGCCCTCTTGGGTTCGTCCGGGGTTCATAAAAACTCAGATCACTTCGACGAACGTCGAGGCTCATGTTGACCATGAGTGGAAATCCGAGGAGAATGACATCGGCTTGCTTGACTTCGACTCCATTATACCCCTCGTATTCCGGATGGTAGTTGTTAGTAGAATCGAACGGAATAAACATGTTCTGTGCAATGGTCTTCCAGTTTTTGGAAGCATTCGGCAAGGCTTGGTAAGCGAATTCGAGATTCATTTTCGCGATCGTGTTCGTGTAGGCCGAGTTGTTGACGACTTCGGCGTCTTCGTCAGGCGGCATGACGTCATAAATGACGTAAGCTTTCTTCGAGTCGTTGTACCATGCGCGGTTGGCCCAGAATTCCGCAGTGGCTCGAATGACCGGGAAGGCCTGGCGCTCAAGCCACTGTTGATCCCCAGATGCCATCCAGAGCTGTTTGATTGCAAATGCTATGTCCCCGATAATGTGCTGCTCGTAATCGGAGTATATCTCTCCTGGGCACACTTCTGAGCCAGTCAAGGCGCTTTCCCAAGGAAACATGGCGCCTGTGGAAAGACAATGAGAAGAAATAGATTTATACAACCCAAATACGACAGAGTTCAAATGAAGTCATTCTGTTCGCACCCACCTTTAAACCCATATTTCTTGGCTTTGTCTTCAGCTGCCTGAAGTCTTGCAAACCTGTAAGCGAGGCACGTTCGTGCAAAATCTTGGTGCAGAAGGACTAACGGAGGGAACATCCATGTCTCTTGGTCCCAAAACACGTGGCCATCATAACCATCAGTAGCCAGGCCTCCTGGACTCAGACCGAAGATCCATGAGGGACGTAATGAGCTGAAAGGAAATGACGTCATTGAACATAAACTGAATAGATGCCAGTTCAAACTGGAGTTAAGGGAACTAAATTGTTAGGAAGACGCAAACGTGAGAACCAGCTCATAGTTCTTACCAAGAGATTCAGATCACGTTCTCTTATTGTCACCGAAAAGCCCCACCGGGAAAGTGTCACTGCAGGGGTAGATCCAGAATTTTACCTGAGTGACTTACATCAACTTAACTAGGGGGATTGGGGGCACGCTCCCCCAAGAAAATTTGAAATTTATTGCTCCAGTCAGAATGCAACTTTTCTGTTTTCAGAGAAACAAACGCAGGTTTGGAAACATTTGATTGATTTCTTCAACTTTGATTGATTTCTTTAATCATTTTAACTATTCTGAATCCAACCCCGCACTAAGTTATGGTATTATTGTATGGTTAGTGTCAACGAACGTAAGGTTTGACGCAGGCTTCAAACGAACTTCAAGCGACTGGGCAAAACCTACGATGATAATATTCACAGCAACTTCCCGGAGTTACTGAAAGAACAGGAAAAATGACTCGTACGTTTGACTTAATCAATGTATGACGGCGAAAAGCGCAGGTGAACTCCTTTGGGTAGAAACAAAAACTTCCCCGAAATTTGTCTGACAAACTCTATGAAAGGAAAAGAAGAATTGGAACTACCATTTTTTTTTTTTTACTAACATGTCGTATACGCGTGATCACGTTCGCTTTCGCGTCACGTATCACTCGCGTTTAACGTTTATCGCCTTCCTTTTTCTTGGAATGTTTGTTCAAATTTACGTTATCTGAGTTTTCACGTCCCTCTTCCGTTCTCGGACAGGAAACAACTACTGTGTGAAACGAAATGGACTTCTATAGCTATGTAGTATTTGCCTGGTATGCATCATTTGCTGTTGGTATGCTTATTGTTTGAAGTGATCGTGTTATATGAAACCTCACATAACTTGCTGTTCCACAAAATTATATTTTAAAGAGGGATTAGTCTAATCCTGTCCTTAGCATTCTATTGTTTTACTAATTCAATATAACCCTTGAATGTATAGAAGGGTTATTGACCAAGTGTGAGGTCAAGAGTTCTGAATGTCGGCCAAGTTCTTTTTATGGGTCTCGAGGTCCATAAACACGCAAAAATAAAAAACGAGGCCAATATCCAGCCTTGTTGCCCGACAAGTTTGGTCAACAAATGATAGGGTATCAAGAACCATTTGCTTGCAGGGAAACAGCGATTAATCCCAGAACACCTTCTTGGCCATTCGGTTAGCAAATTTCGCTCATCTTGCCCGCTTGCATAGCAGTCAATTACATTTTAATAAAATTAAGGGATTTCCGCGATGTTGTACCATATTTATTATTGCAACGTATGTTGGCAAGGCTGAAGAGTTGGCTTTTGTCATAGCGGGGACTTCTATTTAAAAGCGTTCCGCGTTATATCAGAGTTGTACCGTATTAATCAAAGAGGTTTAAAGCAAAAGGATGCTCATATCTGTAGGTTTTCCTAACCGAGTGGCCCTGGGTAAGACCTACAATGGTGCAGGGATTTGTTTTATTTCAAGGGTTAAGGTATGCAAGCGAGTAATATCATTTAAAGTTGAAAAAAAACACACACACCTTATCTAAATCTCATTAAGAACTTCCTTTAGCAATGTTTACAGAACGATTTGGCAGGCATTCCTCATTTATTACATTAGTTGAGCACTATTGTACTTATAAAATAATTGTCTAAAGGGATGTTAATAAGGCATCAACCTGTTAAACTAGTGAATAAGAGGTTTTTATCAATACCTGAGTGTGTAATAGAGACTACCGGAAATTGTCTGTGCCAGTGTAAGATTGCCTTCCACTTCGATCCGCCCATCATTCCATATTTCTCTCCAGGCTTGGACGTGACTTTCTAAGAGCTCTTCCGGTTTTTCCATTGCTGCTGTGTAAGCTTCGCGTGCGCTTGTCACGAAATCTTTAGCATCTAAACTGGTGGCTATAGCCGTGATAAAGAAAAACGTTTGGGTCTGCGCAGAGGGCTTGATCAGCAGACGAGGTGGTATTTCCCCCCAGACCGCCGCTACTCCCTCCCTTCGACTGTCTGGTTCCTCCGTTATCCTAATATACCCTGACATGGCATTGATCTTAGGGTCATTCTGAGATTTACGCGGAACATCATCCCTTTGGAACTCTATATCAGCGCTTGGCGGTCCAAATACATTAGTCAGGAACAAGCTTACTGTGTCACGCATGTTGTTTTGTAAGGAAATCTCCGTGACAAGTACATGCTGGCGAACTCGATGAGCGTAGATCTTTTGCTCCAAGGTGAAGTTTTCGACGACTAAGCGGTGATAAAACACGCCTTGTTCGACGTTCAGACTGAACAGCTCCACGGTCGCGTTGGAGGTCAGATTACTTCGCACGATAATCGCCGCAGTCGATGGAATTCGTGCCCTATGACTCGGTGTTTTTGTTCCTCGTCCGTTGAAGATCCCAGACACGTAAACAGTATCGCTGAAAACTGTAGTAGCTAAGTAACCGTTTCCAACACTCGGGTTTAATCGAGGATCCCAGGAAAGACTAGGAGATTCGAAGTTTGTCGCATTTGGTGTAGCAATGCCAGTATGACAAAAGCAAACCAGGCAAAGAGTGATGGCCAAAAACGCAGACGTCATTTAGCCTGTGAGTGGATTCTTTGCGATTCCTTCAGCTGTAATGCAGGTCTGTACTTGATTTACTTCAGTGATAACGCCAAACCAAAGTCAGCATATGTAGCTCACTGAGTAAGAGAGCAAGACAGGGAGCAATATTTAGCTATTGGGCCCAACAGTTCCCTCAGACTTGTTTAGTTCGATGATATCCCAGTCCTCAGAAACAGCAAGTTCTCTGCGCTATATGGCGCATGACTATCAGTAATATGATCTTGGCAGTGCAATGATGCAGTATCTATTTTTTTTTGGAAGACCACCATTGTCCCTCATGGTTCGCCAACGTGAACTAAATTGATAAAAATGTAATCCACAACACAACTTATTTTGCGTTAAAAATTGGAAACACTCTCGCGCTCTTTCTTTTCTCTTCCCTCTATTTCCCACCTTTTGCAATCTTTGCGGATACTCTTGGGCAGCCATAAATTAAAGGCCATTTTTTTTAGGCTGAAGGGATGTTAGGTTTGTAACTGACGCTCTCTCTTTCCTTTCAATTCTGGATGAATTTTTTCGTTTGTTAAAAATCTTAATCTCCGTGCGTCAAGTCAGAAAAATGAAAAATGAGCTGATGACGTGACTAAAAGGTTTAATGCAATTAGACATAGATAATCTGGCAGTGAGAAGGATCAATGTCGAACTAATCTTTTCCGTTTTGAATTTAGAGTTTTTAGCAGCTGAGCGAAGCCGTACTACTGGCTCTCTGTAGGATACACGGATCTCGTACCAGAAATAATATTCGCGCGCTTGTGCCGGTCGTCCCTCTCTTCCAATCCCNAGTCAGCATATGTAGCTCACTGAGTAAGAGAGCAAGACAGGGAGCAATATTTAGCTATTGGGCCCAACAGTTCCCTCAGACTTGTTTAGTTCGATGATATCCCAGTCCTCAGAAACAGCATGTTCTCTGCGCTATATGGCGCATGACTATCAGTAATATGATCTTGGCAGTGCAATGATGCAGTATCTAGTTTTTTTTGGAAGAACACCATTGTCCCTCACGGTTCGCCAACGTGAACTAAATTGCTAAAAATGTAATCCACAACACAACTTATTTTGCGTTAAAAATTGGAAACACTCTCGCGCTCTTTCCTTTTCTCTTCCCTCTATTTCCCATCTTTTGCAATCTTTACGGATACTCTTGGGCAGCCATAAATTAAAGGTCATTGTTTTGAGGCTGAAGGGATGTTAGGTTTGTAACTGACGCTCTCTCTTTCCTTTCAATTCTGGCTGAATTTTTTCGTTTGTTAAAAATCTTGATCCCCGTACGTCAAGTCAGAAAAATGAAAAATGAGCTGATGACGTGACTAAAAGGTTTAATCCAATTAGACATAGATAATCTGGCAGTGAGAAGGATCAATGTCGAACTAATCTTTTCCGTTTTGAATTTGGAGTTTTTAGCAGCTGAGCGAAGCCGTACTACTGGCTCTCTGCAGGATACACGGATCTCGTACCAGAAATAATATTCGCGCGCTTGTGCCGGTCGTCCCTCTCTTCCAATCCCCAGTCAGATTGGTTGGAGAAGCGAGAAAAGGAGGGGGAGGGGGCGGCGGGGAAAGAGGCAAGGCAAGGGTAACACTTCAGGTTAATTAATGAAATAGAAAAGAGCCGTATAAATGAATTTCTACCTTTCAGTGTAAAGCAATGTAGGCCCTGTTCAGGGAAATTGTGAAAAGGCGTATCATCTCCTGACGTTATCATATCAGCCTGCGGAACAGTCGGTTTAGCGCGAGCGGGTCAGAGCGCGCGTGGAGCAAGACTCCAAGAGTACTAAGTACGATCGCGCGTTGACGACCAGATTCAAGACTAAATGTTTTTAGAACCCTACAACCACATTTGAAATGAAACAAAATTAGAACGTTCTCAGTGACCATTTTAAAAATTCTGCTCGTAGAGCGAGATGGGCTCTTCCCTAAAATTAGCAAATAAAGAAGATTGCAAATATTTTCAGCCCCCAAATGAGCCGTATCTATATATATTTTTGTGATAGATATTTTTCAAGCGTCAGATTATTTTTCACAAAATAACCGGCTCAAACTAACTTATAACTTACATAATTTTATGTCAATTCATTGAACCCAACTGAAGACGGTTATTTCAAAAACAGAAGGCTGGAAACAGCATAGCCAGCGTTTGCAGACAGATTTACACCTATTGTTTTAATTTCGCCAGCGGAAATCCGTCTTCGTTCGTAGCTTAGATATAGTAAAGCCACATCAGAATTAGATTAATTACGACAGTATTGTGACTAAAATAACTTACGCTCGATATTATCAACAGGATATACGGAATTTTCTGAGAGTAAATGAGTAATACTAGGTCTGTAACCTTTTTTCTTGCATCCATCCATGCCAGTACGCGCTCCATGTTCGTCAAAATGACATTTACAAGCCAAAAATAGTAAAAGATAAAGTTTGATTTCTTTCGATAGCATGAAACAATATGATCGATGAGCAAGCTGCTATAATACATATAGGGCTCGGCCCCCGTACAAATTCACGTGACCAGTGACGCAAAAGCGCCTGTTATCGCAGGCCAGATTTTTCGCAAAATCTCAGCTTCATATTTCAACTTTGACCTGGCCATATTGTCGATGAAGTTCAATTTCAGTGCAGACAAAAAATTTCATTAACGCTCGATATTCGATGTTTAAACTGAAACGATTAAAGTGTATATTTGGTAACGCAAATTTCAAGCACAAGTTCTAAATTCCGCCATGATTATTGATGTCTTTAAAACACGCTTTTTCATTAAACCACTGAATTCTTTTTTGTAGCCGAGGTGTTTCTGAACACGTTTCAGAGCCGATTGGAATGAATCATAAAAATTAGAATGTTGTTGCGAAGAGTTAAACAAAATTTGCTTTCCACATATCAGAATGAATTCCTTGAATTCTATCAACTGTGTAAACCGGATGCCTATTTTGAATGTATTGCCCAATTTATTTACATCTCAGCTATACCAAATCCCGACCTTTATTTCAGAATGTCGTCTGACAGGGCTGTCCTTAATATATCAAAGAAAAGCTGACTTTTGCTCAAGCGACTTGTCGTTCTGACTTTCAAAGATCTTTGATCTTCATTATTTGCTCTTTAAACAGTCTTTGCTGTAACTGCGGTTTTAATAAAACCAAGATCAACAGCGATTGGCCGGTTGTGGCGGGATTTCGGAAAATGTCAACAATGGAGAGCGCTATTGGTGTTTCTACTTTCCATTAATATACTCGCAGACCAGTGACGCAGACATGCAGATTTTGTCGTATAGATTATTTATTTTCCTCGTAGAAAAACAAACAAGCTTATAAATGTTCCTTCGACATGGATTCGACCGACAGGTCAGTGCAATGTTGAATTCGAAAACAACGATATGGCTTTCTTTTGTCCCTCCCAGCTGACGTTAAAAAAGAAAGGTAATAGCGGTTTTGCTTTAACCATAAATTTGCCACTTGCTTCGCATAACGCAAATGATTAGCATTTGTCTTTCTTTGAAAGTTGCAGTTCACATTCTGCTGTCATTGTGGCGTAATTATTCGCTACGTTTCTAACAACTGTCAACGCTTACTTTTTGTCTTGGTTAGTGCTACAAAGCAAGAAGCCATATCCGCCAGACGTTTACCGACCTTCGACTACTTTGGAACAGAACGGGACTGTCCCTTTGGAAGTAACGAAATCTGCTTTGAAAAACGGCTCGACTCCAAACCACAAGCATGAGAAGCGAAATGTCAGAATTAGCGAGTCTGGATTTAAACATGAAACTCTCATTGAGCGGAAAATTCGAGCGGCAACTTTAGCAAAACCCGCAAATATCCGAGTAAAGGTTATGAAAAGTTACCACCCAGTCGATAAAGAAGAACTGAAGGTACGAAAAGGACACTACGTGAAAATACTCTACCAACAAAATGACTGGGCTTACGTTGTGGATTCGTCAGGAAGCGAGGGTTTTATCCCGTTGTGTTATTGCTCTACGACAAATGTTTCCACTGACTCGAAGTCTAGCACTTCGGGTTACGAAGACAGCTTCGAGGACAGCGAGGACGGGGTCGGAGAAAGGACAGCAGTGGTGGTGTACAGTGAATCGTTGACGAGTAATGATAGTCACAATTCGAAATCGATGACTTATTTTCCAAAGCGAGCTTACGGACCGCAATTAACTGTTTTGTACGACTACACAGCTCATGATGAAAATGATTTGAGCGTCTGTCGTGGTGAACTTGTGATGCTGCTGAACGATCAGGACCAAGATTGGCTATGGGTATCCACGGAAGATGGCGAAGAAGGCTTTGTACCGAGATCTTTTGTGGTTTCTCACGTGTGCGAAGGTAAATAATTTGCTCCTCAGTTAAGTCTCGCGTATGTGTGTTGTTTTAGTTTTTTATTGAAGTGTTGGAGAAACAGACAAAGGAGTAGCCTCTAAAACTAAGAGCATTTCAAAACGATACATTTGAAGACCTCCGCAAAATATTTGTTGTACGCACTCCCAAGGAAAAACCATGCTAGACTACAGGGAGAGTTGATAGCCTAGACGCATTGCTGTCTGAGAATGAGTCAGTATTGCTAACGAAAAAGGATATAAAACACAGGAACTACAAGCATGTTAACTGCCCGACTCTCATCGTCTCCAAAAGTATAGTTGTATATTTTAGAGCACGCGGGTACACAACCTGTCTTTTCAGAAGGACTCTTGATATGTCGCGATCTTGATTAAAATTATGTCTGGTTTAGATGAATTCCTCGTTACTTGGCCATTGACCTGCAACCAGTATAACTGGATACCTTTTCTTAGTTTAAGAGCTAATTTCAACGAGCTTGTTAGTTCTGTAAGCAAAGTACATGTGTATTTTTGTCTTGAGCAAAAATGTCGAGCTTAATATGTGGCATTCGGCTCTTATCAGAATAAACATTTTCATTCGGATATTCGATTATGAAAGCACTTAGCTGATAAACCAAAAATTGGTATTTTGGCAATTAAAATACTGTCTACACCTTGTTGAAAATACCCCTGGATTGTTATGGCTTTGATAACCTCAACCTTTTAATGTTTCCACATGATTCAACTCACGTTATAACACGATCAAAGCCTTGTTATAATGTTCCATTTATTTACTTAAGAAACCACATGCTACGTTATCGCAAGTCGGCTGAGTTGGTTTTTTTACTGAGGTAGCAAAGTGACCGAGATACAAGCAATGTTTCAGACAATGCTACCGCAGACAGACTTACAAAGAGTTGTGAGACGGTTTATGGTAGAAAAAGGAAAATAAGCTTTAGGATTAGTCATAAAAGAAGATAGAGGGTCAAATATGGTCAAGATTTAAAGGAATTGCAACCATTTGAACTTAGTTTTTGTCAGAATTATAGTTTGGGGCTTTTTTATATTTTAACGCAATCTTATGTGTAGTGTACAGCGGTACAGGACGACTCCTTGGGTCAACTCCGTGCAGGTACGCCTCGATCATTTTCAGGAAACAATGACAAAACGATGGCGAGCATGACTTAGTTTCATAATTATAGTAACTGAATTATCTTTGACAATACTAGATGTTACATTTGCTGATACTACGTCAAAATATGCAAAATATATCACTTTCGCCGATTTGATTAAATCTTATGTTTTCATCGATTTTTGTCAAAGGTCTACCTAATTTTACCGGCCGAGTCCTTACTTAAAATGGAGTAAATGCTTATTAAGCTTGAATGATTGATCAAGTCCACGATCAAGGAATGACTAAAAAGCAGTCAGGGTGAAATTAAATTATTCCAGTGTACTATTGCTAAGTACAAAGCTGTCTCCACGCGCAGCAAAACCCTTTGGACTCGCATTCAGTTTAAAAAAGACCCGGAAAGCTCAAAGAGCTTTTACAACAAAGTTTCTAAGTTAAGGAGAAAAAAAGGAAAGGCAACATAGCTAAACGCGAGTCAGGCAGAAGTTTCCGTGCACTGTGTCTTGAAGAAATAAAATTTGCAGGAGAAGGGCGGGGGAGCTGACGACCAGTGCAGCTTGTAAGCAGATCTTAAGATAATTATTAGGCATTGTAGGTGAAGTAAGATTTGGAATGTACGTGAATTCAAAGACAAAATTTATTGACAGTATCACTCTTTCTTAGTCAAAACGTTTTCCTATTTGAACACACAGCTTGCATGCAGCGGTTATCCTCACCGAACGCAGCCTCGCTCAGCTCTCCAGACTTGAATTCCTCTGACGTCACGCCGACAAGTTCATGCTCTACTGGCAAGAAATCCAAATCGTCATACACGGACGTGACGTCATCAGCGTCCAGTGAAAAGACTTACACGCTCAAAGGCACACGGTTAATTGTGCTTCATAACTTTCAAGGGAAAGCGTTTGATGATTTGCCTGTGAGACCTGGAGAGTACGTGTACGCAAACCTCAAAGACCAAATTGTTCCTGGTTTTATCTGGGCGTATTCGCCGAACAGCAAGAAATCTGGCTTCATTCCAGAGGATCGTGTTAAAGAGCCAGTTGTAACAGATATATGAAGGGTGGTTAGAGGCAGTCACTCCTTACGTGTCACCGCGCCACTGAAGACAATGCTTGATGTATCGAGACGCGTTTGTCATATGACGCTGGAGAGAGTGCATTTAACAGGAGCTATAAGAGCGGACACCAGCAACCTGTTAAACAGCGAAACCTTACCAGAAGAACAAGATAATAGTATTAGTCGCCCTGTAGGTTAATACGGACCATATTTATGCTCTCTTGTCGTAAACAAGCACTTTTCTCAGTCGGAAACCCAGTTGGAGGCTGGCGATTTTCGACCTAGGTTGCTAAGGAACACGGAACACGACAACATTAAACTAGAATTTCCAGAATGCACGTGCTACTTAAATCAGGATCCACTTGTTTGTCATGACCATTGCCAAGCAATGTACATCATGACCCGATTGTTGCAATTGGGTAGAAATTTACCGGAAACCCCGCTTTATTGTTAGCCGGAACACCAAAACTGGATTTAGATGAGTCCAAGGTGAACGAATGTCCTTTCACTTATGCGGAATTCCGTGAACAGACTTAGCTACTTAAAGTCATGCCACACCAAGGGAGGTGATTTATCCAAATATGATTTATCAACGATCTATCATCGTCGTTGAATTGCCATTGATTTGCCTCTGACCCTGACATAACAAACTTCTGTGTAAGAAAACAAGCGATCATTCCAAGCTATAAACTTATCATATTATCATGCTAAGGAACAAAGTTAATAGAGGGGAATGGTTACGAAACTCGACAAAGTTCTTTGTTGTATGTTTTTGTTCTCTTTTTTTGGCCTTGACCGTGCACAAAACACAATAGTTGTTTACTACTGACTTAGGAGCTAAACAATCGAAACGTTTTGGTTACGTAATTCATGCATAGTGTATGAACCCAAAACAAAAGGTTGTGCACGGTCGTGGACCTTTCAACATAAATCTTGGCATCTTTTTTGCTCCTTTGATGTTTGCCGGGCTTCATAACCATTACCCTCTATTAACTATGTAAGAAACGTTTCTTTAGCTACTGTAAATTTATTGTCGGGGGAGCGGGTAAGTATGTTCGTTGGACACTATTGAACGACCCCCCTATGGATTCAATAAGCATCCTTTCATGTGCTGTATTAAGATCCCCTCCCGCCCCCCTTTCCCTACATGGGAATTCGCCATTCCGAAAATGCCATAGATGAAAATGCTTTATTTAAGGACATAATATTTGTATGATTTTCTATCAATTTTTACTGATAGTACAAAGTCCCTTTTAAATAGAATTAAATTCAAAGGGAACCTTTATGAAAAATTATTTAGGTAAACATATTAGTTGGATACAAAAAGAAAAATTTACAACACTTTGAAATGGACTACTCATGGTTTTACAACATAATAAGCTTATATTAAGCACTGGTCATTGGCTTTCCCGGTGATTGACCACCGGGACATCCCCGGGTAAACCCCGGGAACATGCGGGCATTTTTGTAAAAAAATTTGTGACGTAGGGTGGGGACATTTGATTGGTTTTTGAAACGAACGCACCAGATCCCAGGGATGCACCTACGGGATTTGTTTGGCATTGGTCAGCGTTACGTCACTTTCAAAATTCCGCATGAACATGAAGATGAGCGACCTTGCCGCCATTTGTAAGACATTTTGTGGAGAACGTCGATCTTCAGTGTTCGTTACATGTATGTTTGTTCTTCATCATGCCGTTGTACAAAGCCTGGGATGTGGTATGAGGAAAAAGAAACTCTGTCAACTGACAACAGTTTCAAAGAAGAAGAGAGCGAAAAAAATCGATAAAATTGTCCGTAATTATTGTAAATGAAGGTTTTCTGTCTTCAGCTTAGCCTCTGGGAGAGGGGAAATTAGTATGTATTTTAAGCCCTATGCCCCAGGGATTTCGTAGGTTTTTGTTTGATCCTGAAACCAAATCCCCTTTGCCCTCAATACGCTTACAAAGGAGGTTTGGGAATCGGTCAGTCCGTAGCTACTCTGCCTTGTGAGGACCCTTCTGAGTGTCAGAGAGTGCCTATTGAGCCCGCAGTCTCAGTGCCAACTTTAATGAAGCTAAACTACTTCATATAAAACTTTACATTCAATATGGCGTATGGAATACGAAGCTCCTGAATTGAACAGGTAGGGTTACTTTTTATATAAACACTTGTGCAATATGTACAAATTTCTTAGATAAAAACAAAATTAGTATGAAACTCTTCAATAGCCATCGATTGTTACTAATTTTCAAGTTTCGGATCAGGCAAGACATTAATCCCGAAGAGATGAAAATTTCTACCTGGAAAATGTTGGTCTGTGGGGAGAATTCATCACGGTTGTTTTGTGCGCAATGGGCGTAAATTTGTTGTAAGCGTAAACGCAAAAACAAAAACAAACTGATCAAAGGATATAATATAATTTATTTCATTTTGATACAAAAAATATATCTACAAATTTATATAAAATTTCTTTTTGTCTTTTTTGCTCGAACACTAGCGAATGCTGTTGGAGTATTATAGTTAGGAATTTTTAAAAAATACAATCGCATGAAAACAGATAACAAGGGGGTTAGTTTGGGAACGGACCAGAAGAAACACAAAGACAGAGACAAGAAAAACAAGTCAGACTGAATACGGCATCCGTTGTCTCCACGAGTTAAAAGAGCTCAGTCACGGAATTTTGAGTTATTTTGGCCACGTGCGAAATCACCTTTAAATTGAAGGAAAACTGAAAATAGTAGTTTACTAAGATAAAAAAAACTCCAAAGAGATAATATTAAACCGTAAAGAAACAAGGATGGTTAAGGATGGAGAAGATTGAAGCGGATTACAAACGACGAACTTGAAAAATTTAGGCTACACTTTTCAAGATGTACAAACCGTGACGTAGCTTCTTTCAACTAGCTTTTGTTTTATACATAATGAATATTCCTAATATTGTATATCCGATCAGGCCAGATTTCTTTTTTTCAGGCTTTACTTTCACAAACGCTTAAGTTGTGTATATCTGCGATGATCAATCATGTCTTCATATTGTATATCTCATCAGCAAGCAAAATATCGGGAAATAATGCATACACATGTTATAGGACTGCATAGCTCTGTAAAAAGTTTAGTTTCATTCTGGCAATGTCCCAAAAAATGATGAAAAAATATTGCATAGTTACAGTAACGTAGAGGTCCATTATCTCAGATTAAGAGATATTTTTAACATATTTTACAATAATTGTTTAGAGAGGCCAATGGTTGACAGTGGAACTGGATGGAGTTTAAGTGAAAGTTGATCAAGATTTTAACTGTCGGCTTAGCAATGACGAGACTTTTTTTAAACTGATGGCTAAGATCTGAGATCCGCAAAATTTACTGATGGCCGAGATTTGGGCTGAAATTTTACATGATAGCTGAGATTCCAGCATTCCCATTTAGACCTTCAGGTATGAAGCCAAAATGTTGAAAATAGATGAAACTGTGGTTTAAGTTTGAACACATTTTTTTTTTTACAATATCTGTTATGAAAACGGGACACCAACCACATTGGGTCGGGTAGCAGCTCTTGTAAGGTCTCACATGAATGGCTTGAAACCCTTTGAGAGAACAATGGAACAAACAACAGAAACAATGCCCCTAGCCCCAAACCAATTACAGCTGTTTACAAGCAAAAGAATTACAAGCTTATGAGAGCGGCTACAAGTCTGACCACATTGTGATTGTCTGAAACCGCCCATCATGAATGGAAAATATTTTTTTGTTTCATAACTGGAAAATCGGTTCAGTGCATACATTCTGTGTCAATTGTAAGAATTTCTTTTGCCTAAAGCGTAAAGCTCTCCTCGATCTGAAAAGAAATTAAAAATTCTCTCGCTCTTTTGTACAAAAGAATAGCTAAGAATTGTCACAGTTTGTGACCGAGATTCTGGTCGAGCAAAAGAGGAAGCCCGCACAATAAACCTATTTTAAAACATCAAAATCTCGCGTCTAATACAGAAAAGCTTTGGTATCGATAGCACAAACAAAAATCCTAAAAGTCAGTGGGAAACACCGTGATGTAGCATCTTCTGCTTAGTTCACGCAGGGATTTAACTTATTTCTGTAGGGATTAAGGTTCTTAACACCGTAATTTTTTACAAGGCCCAAGTACGATTTTACGGTTTGCTATGTCCTTAAACAGTCGCTTCGGTGGGCAAATGGGAAGATCGATAAATTGTTACCACTCTGCTGAGTGAATAAATTTTTAGAAGGTCTTATTTCTTTTGCTTATTAGAAATAATCGAATTTTCGACCTTTTTGCTACAATCTTTTGAAACTGATATCCGATGGAAACTAAAAAGCATCCCTTAAAATTGAGCTCACTTGTGATTGTAGTATCCCCATATCTTGAATTTCTTATGACAAATGTTTGCCATAAGTCATAAACGCGTTCAACATCGTATCGATTGTAAATCTCTAGCAATCTCTAACCCTTGAGGGCAGATGAAAACCATAAAAACAAACGGAAAAAAATATGAAATTGCTTTGTGGGAAAGAATGAGGGAACGAACAAGTTGGTAGCTATTATAAAATAATCGAATAAAAATCTGTTATATGAACAATAGCCTCCATTTGGCGCAAAAATATGCACGGATTATCCGTTCCGAGAAGCGGAAAGTTTTCCCACAGCATAGCTCGAGGAAAACTGTGTCCTTTGAGGAACATGTTATGTCCAAGGACAAATATCCGAGCATATTTTCCCGCTAAACGGAGGCTATTGTGTTTATTATCCTTCGAATATTTCTCGCAACACGCGCAGTTTTGAAGATTGGGGAATATCACTCGGATATTCACCAGTTTTAGCTGGGGCATACTCAGTCACGTGACGCGTCTAGACCAATCGCGCGCGAGCGAAAATATTTGATGGATTATAATTATAGTTATGTAATAGTTATATTTAAGAAAATTTATACGTATTTTTCTAGAGTCACATATTCTTTTGGCGCCATACCAGGCCTTCTTCTCTCCTTTTTGCAAATGGGACACTGATTTGGGGGACGCTCCGTCGAGGAGTTCCGATGAAGAGGGCACGTATCCACCAGGGACAAAATGGGACTGCAATAGGAGCTCCTGGAGCAAACGCTGCGGTCGGTCTCCGAGCTACGGCTGGAGTCTGTAGAGGGTGGAGAGGGCCCCTTCGGGGCTGGGGATGCGTCGCGTCTTGTTTGCGGTGCGTCTGGATAACGTTTCACTGCTGGGGAACTATTGGACCGTTGCCGGTCCCGTGAGGTACCTCGTTGACCTTGTCGTCCCCTCCCCTCCCCTGTCCACGGGGGCATTGGTGCTAACGATCCTTTAGAAAGTTTTATATCCCGTGGAACTGGATCGTAGGATCTGCGACGAGGCTCTTGAGGCTCTCTACCACTCATCGCATTCAATTCGTTTGTTTCTTCTGCGATGACTCTTTCCTGGATGGGCTGAAATTGGTGTACTAACGGTTTATTCAACGAGCTCTTCCTTGGGAATGGTTCGCTATTGAGTTCAGAATTTGAAGTATCAGCTATGAATTTCTCTTCCGTAATAGACTTCCTTCCCCGCAATTGCTGACAAGCTCGCCTCAGAAGATCGTTCTCCTTTTTCAAACTGACAATCTCGTCGCGCAGTTTTTCCACGCCTTCTATGAGCTGAAGATTTTCATCTTCCAGTCGCCTGTATTCCACTCCCATTTGCTCCATTTTACCGGACGAATCTTTCAGATTTTCCGTCTCTTTTAGGACACTGTCTAAACGACTCGACAGAAGTTTGGTCTTTGTCTTCATGGCTTCGTCTTTTTCCAATAACTGTTCAGCAAGCTGTTCTTTAAGAGACGCTTGGTTTTGTTTCTCCTTCTCGAGTTGTTTAATCTTGGTTGCCATTTCGTGTAGTTCTTCAACGAGACCTTTCTTCTCTTGGTCCTTGGTTTCGAGCTCCTTATACAGTTCTCCCACATCTGTCTCTAGACTCTTGTTCATCTCTTCAAGTCTATTGTTTTCTGTGAACAAATTCTTCAGTTTGTCATCCAAGTCTTTTTCACTACTTTTGTCAAGAAGAACAATTTCTAGATTTGCCTTTTGCTGTTTGTTGATCGCTTCAATGCGTTCTTTATCGTACTCCAGTGAACGGACTTGAGACGCAAAGTTTTCTTTGTCTTTCTCCAATCCACGGACATCATTCTCAAGTTTCCGTTGAAGGGCATCGAGACCTTCGACTCTCGCCTTTAAGGAGATTGCCTCGTGTTCCTTCGACTCAAGCTTTGACATTAGCTCTTGGTTTTTCTTATCCATTTTCAGTTTAAACGAATGCGCGTCGTCTACAAGCTTATCTTTCTCACTATCCAACTCTTTACAGTTTTCTTCTAAGTTTTGGACTTTGTCCTTCAAAGCATTGCGCTCCTTTTCCAAGACTCTCAACTTGTACTTAGTTCCTTGGAGTTCAGCGTCTATCGCTCGGTTTTTGCTCTCGGCGGCTTCTTTGGCACTCGATAACTCACTGATGCGATAGTTAGCGTTTTCCAACTCTTTAGAGATCTTTGCAAAATTGTCTTTGTTCATTTTCTCTAGTTCTTTACTCAGTTCTTTTACGTTTTTCCACAATTTTTCATTTTCTGTGGACAAGCGGTCTTTCTCCTTTTTCAGTTCCTTTACCTTGTCAGACTCTTTCACCGCTTTCCCGTCTTTTTCTTTCGTATCCAGCAGCGATCGCTTCAATTCCGCATTTGCCTGTCTCAGAGAATTCTTCTCTGCTCGTTCATCGTACGACAGAGTCCGCAGCTTCTCAACTTCGTATCGAACTTCGGAAACCTCGTTCTCGACAGCGGTTCTCTCCATTAGCGCCAGCTCCAATTTCCCTTGGAGTTCGCTGACCAGTGATTGTAGGGACTCCTTCTTGATCGCGGATTCATGCAAGCACTGCTTCAAGGCGGTAATCTCAGCGCGTGATTTGTTCTTCTCGCGTAAGTAATCAAGTAGGTTCCCTTCACCCTTAGATCTCTCCTCGTCCAGGCATTCCTCTAAACCTCTGATATTTCTGCGCAGCTCTTCGAGACAATCTTTCAAGCGTTCGGCTTCTTCTAAGTCCCTTGCCGTTAGATCACTCTGCGTCTCCAGCTCTTGAGTGCTCGTTTCAGCTTTATAGCTTCTAACACTCGCCGAGCGGCCTTTCTGATGTTTTCCATTGAAGTCAACGAGATGCTTAAATCTTTCAACTTCAACCAGCGACTCGTTCAGGATTTGCTTCAAAAGAATCTGCGCAACTTCAGAGCGTTTCAGTCTCCTCGCGATCCTGTCTCGCTCTCTGCAAACTTCGTCTAACTGCTTAAGAAGATCTTTGTTCTCCTCCATGGACTTTTCTATAAAACTCCGAGCCCGCTCGCTGGACCTCTCCGCGCTGTCTTTTTCAGACTCCATTCGACGGCTCTCTTGGATGTCGTTCTTAGCTCGGCTTAGCAGGTCTGCTGTTTTGGACACAGCCTCAAGCATATCTGACTCTGCTTTTCGTAGAGTGCCTTTCAGCTCTACCACTGTAATAAACGATGATCTGTTCTTCTCCATGGCTAGAATTGAAGAGAGCTCGCGGCGCATTTTCGTATACTCCTTCTCCATGTCTTCAATAGTGTATTGAAATCGCTTTCGTTCTTGCTCGTGTAGTCGTTCCTTCTGTTTCAAAGCTCGCAGCGCATCGGACAGCTCGAGCTGTAAATCAAAGACTTGATCACGTGCTTTTCTTAACTCGCCTCTCAACTCCTGTTCATGGGATTCCAGCATGGTTATTTCTTTTCTGGCATTTTCAAGCGCGGCGGCTTGTTTTTCGAGTTGGCCTGTTTCTATTTTCGGCGGGGTCTGGCTCAGCTGAGAGACTTTAGAAGACATGATGGTTACTATTTCCCCGCCACTCTCCAATGCCTCAGTAGCGGATGTCTTTCGCACCTTTTCTTCGGTAACCATCACATTTTGGTATCCTTGTCGATCTTTTACTTCTTCTAACTCTTTCGTTAGTTTATTTTCTTTCTCCTTGGCGATGTTTAGCGCTTCTTGCAGTCGGTTGTTCGCCCGCCTGAGGCTCTCCAATCGCTCCTCGTCCTCGCATCTCTCTTTCAACGTCTTGCGGAACTCTTCTCGAGCCGTCGCCAAGCTTGCTTCTTTTTCCTTGAATTCCTGCTCCTGTTCAAACTTCGCTCGTTTGTAATCGACTATTGTTTCCTCAAGCAATCCGATTTTCTTATCTTTCTCAGCTAGTTCGTTTTGCAATTCGATAATTTGATCGTTCTCTGCCGTTTCTGTCTTGATGTCGCTGTCGATGTTCTCTTTTAGTTCATTCCCGGCTCGTTTCTGCTCGGCAATTTCTTCTTCAAGTGCTGAAATCTTTAAATCCTTCTCGCTTAGTTCCTCTTGTAATTTCTCGAGCGTATCTTGCATTTTTCGTTCTCGCTCCTGTCTGGATCGTTTGTAACTGCCGATTATTTTTTCCAGGGCTGAAATCGCTTTGTTCTTCTCGTCCAGTTCATTCTGTAATTGATCAAACTTTTCCTGAAGGTCTTTCTGTGATGGGTCCGCCATTGCCTCGTTTTCTTCTTGTTCTTTCTCAGATTTCAATCTTTTGTACTCAGCAATTTCTTCTTCGAGAGATGCTATCGTTTTAGCTTTCTCGTTCAATTCCTGCTGTACTTTATCGATTTCGTCATAAAGCTCCTTCTCTGTTGCTGCAGATTGCATCTCGGACTCCTCTTTCGCCGATGTCACCTCTTCCACTGCTAAACGTAATGTGGAGTTTTCGTTCTTTCTCTCAGCCATTTCACTCATTATCTCCTGATTTTCAAGGCTCAACTGGTCCAGTTTGTATTCAAGTTCCTTCATTCTTTCCTTGCTTTTCGCTAGCTTCTCTTCGACGAGTTCTTCGACTTCCATGTCGAGTTCTTTTGATAGGCGTTTTACTTCTTGAGCACTCTTCTCCAGGGCATCCTCCAACTTTTTCCCTTCTTCCAAGGCTGCACTGTACTCTCTTTCCTTGGTTTTTATTTCCTCGCGAAGAACATTTTTATCTTTTAGGAGAACCTCTAGCTTTCTCGATAGCTCTACTTTACCATCAACCAGAGATCCAATCTCTTCTTTGTAATGTTTCGTATTCTCGTCCAGTTTGTCCTCCAAACTTTCTTTTTCCTCAATCAGGTCATCTACGTTTTGCTGTAGCTTCTTCGCCTTAGACCTCAACTCTTCAATAATTTCGTTCAGTTCGTCTTTTTCATCGTTAAGTTCCTCCAGTTCCTCGTTTAACTCTGAATTAATCTGACGTTGCTTCACTAATTGGTCCTCGAGAGAACCTCCTTCATCTGAGGCCGACTCTAAGCTGAATTCCATGTCTGCTGCCGATGAAAGTGTTCCTTCCTCAGCACACAGGATTATTTCTTCACTTTCCTTCACATTTCCTGCATCTTTCTGATCATGAGCGAAAGTTTGCGACGACAATTTTAACAAGTCTTTCTCTCCTTGCAATTTCGCCAATTCCTCTTCAATATTCGCTCTTTCCTCTTTTTCACGTGCAAACTCGTGTTTCAAATTCTCCGTGTCTTGAGCCAATGTCTGCGAAGAAATCTTCAGAGCGTCGTGATCCTTTGTTAGTTTGGACAGTTCCTCTTCGACATTCTTTCTTTGTACTCTTTCAAGTTCAAGCTCCTGCTCCAGTTCGTTCTTCTCCTCAGCAGCGTCATCCAATTTTTCCTTGAGAATTTCACATTCACTTGTTAGCCTCTCCAACTCGCATTCGATGCGTTCTGTTTCTGTCTTCATTTCAATCAACAAACTTTGTTCTTTACTCTGAGCTTCGGCAAACGCTAAATTCAGGGCGGCCATTTCTTCCTCGATGGCTTCTAACTTCGCCTTCAGCTTTTTGTTTTGTTCCTTTGTTTTTGCTGCTGTTGTTTCTGCTCTTCCAAATTTTTTCTCTGCGCTATCCAGGGCCTTCTTCAACTCTTCGTTTTCCATTTTCAGCTGATCAAATTTGTCTTTGCTTTCTTGCATAAGACCTTTTGAATCATTCAATTCCTGTTGAATTTTCTCCAGGCTTGAAGTCTTCTTTGCCAGTTCCTCTTTGAGCGATGTTAACTCAGATTTCAACTTAGCGCACTCGTTTTCCATGGACTGTTTGCTTTTGTTTAAATCAGCCAGCCGTTTCTCTTTGTTCTTATCTTGTTCTTCCAGGTCCTCTAAGTTTCTCTGTAGGGACTCCTTATCATTGCCAGTAGTCGAAATTTGCTTTTTAAGATCTTCGTTTTCTTCTTGATGTTTGGTTATGTCTGTCTTCAATTCTTGTAACTTCACGTCCAGCGCTTTCTTAGCGTCCGTTTGTTCATTTAATTTCTTTTGCAGGTTGTTTCTTTCCTCGATCACTTCTTTGCGCGACTTCTCAGCTTGACTACACTGCTTTTCGAGTTCAGTAATCTTGTTTTTTAACTCGTCGACAACTCTGAGTAACTCTGAAAGGGAGACGTTCGACTTCTTCAAGTCTTGATTGAGGGAATGAATTTGCTTGTCTTTCTGGTCCAGCTCTTTCTTCCACTTCAGTACGTTTTCTTTGGCAAGCATTTCCACTGAGGACAGATTAGCAGTCTTAGCTTCAAGATTTTCCTCTAGCTCAATTTTTTCTTCTTGTAGCTTCACATTTTCCTCGTCTACTTCCTTCAAGCGTTTTTCAAGATCTTGACATTTATTCTCGGCCATTGTAAACGACTTCTTCTCCTCTTCAAGCCTAGAAGCACAAGCTGTCAGATCCTGTTGATTATTTCGGTGTTGTTTCTTTAGCTTCTCCAACTCTTGCCTCAAACTTTCAACTTTATTCCTCTCGCTTTCCAACTCCGTGAGCAGTTTTTCCGAGCCATTTTTCGCCATTTCCAATGCTACTGCCACTTCTGCTTTTGTTAGGCTCAAAGACTCGGCTTCCCTCTCTTTATGCTCCAACATTTTTGCCTTCTCGCTCGCTTCGGCAGTAACAGTAGCGATTTGCTTTTCTTTGCTCGCTAACGCAGCTCCTAACTTCTCCTTCTGCAAGCTAAGCTTTTCGATCAGAGTACGAACATCACTAATTTCGCGCGATAGTCGCGTTTCATCTCGAGAACGCGCGGGTGTTGATTCAGATGGTGCGTGTTCCATGTGTTCTTTGTCTAGCGCCTCTTGCAACTGTAGCGTCAACTCAGCTCGCTCTTGAATGAGCTCCTTGTTGTTGTCTTGGATTTCGCGATTTGTATTTTCAGCCTTCTCTAGTCTTTCCGTCGATGTTTTCAGCTCATTCCTCAACTCCTGCAAATCTTTCTCTGCGCGTGCCAACTTCAATGCTTCTTCTTCGAGTTTTGTTGCCAAAGACGCCTTTTCTTTCGAGAGAGCTTCGATATGTTTACAAACATATTCCACAATATTTGTCTCTTCACGTGTCATCTCTTTAGATTGTTTCGATGGATTCCTTTCGAATGATCGATCAACAAAAGCGAGCAAATCTGTAGCTTGGGTTTTCAAATCCTTAAGCTCATCTTTCATCACAATACTCTCTTTTTCTACGTCTTCCAACTTGCGTTCAAGAGATTCCTTATCGCCTTGTAACTTTTCTAGGCGATCTTGGAATTGTAAATTCTCCTGTGACTTTTTGTCCAACTCTTCTGTAAGAAGCTTCTCGCTTTCTTTGAAGTTTGCAACTTGAGTCTTTAAATCGTCTTTTTCTTCTTCTGTTAGCTCCAAGTCGTCCTCGGTGGCATCAAGCTTGTCTTGTGCGGCCTTAAGTGAGCTTTTTAAGTTTTCAATTTCGTTGTTTAGCTCCTTAGTAACGCTTTCCAACTCTCGCTCTTTCTCTATGAGAATTTCATCTTCTTCACTCTTCTCTGTTCTGGCTCTTGCTAATGTTTCCTCAAGTGTCCTGTAGTCGTCTAGAAGTTGTTCCTGTCTCCTATCGAGGGCTTCACTCTCACTCTTCATCTCATCAACCAGTGCATGAATATCTTCGTTTTCTTTCACCATATTCTCATATTTTTCCTCTAATTCAGTCAAGTCTTGCGATTTCTGTCGAAGTTGTTCTTCAAGCGATTTCACCTGTTCTGAAAGCTGGGTCAGCTGTTTGCCCTTCTTATTACTATCCGTTTCAACGTTTTCAAGCTTCTTGCTTTGTGCGTTCAGATTCTGCTTGAGAGTCTTGTAATCCTCAGTGAGCTTCTCTGATGATTTACTAAGTGCCTCTCTCTCTTTCTTTAAGTCGGATATGTCCTTAGAAAGTGTGTCATTCTTTTGTTTGAAGGCTTTCAAAGACTTCTCCAGTGCCTCGGCTCTTTCCCAAGACTCACTGGCTTGGCTTTCGAGTGTTTTCTTGCGCATGTTGGCCAGTTGAAGGGCTTCTGTCGCATCTTTGTTTGCTTTCTCTTGTTTCTTCAAGTCTTCTCGAAGCTGCGCGTTTTCTTTGTTTTTCTCTTCTAATGCCGCTGAGATGTCTTCTGTGGGTTTGTCCTCATCTCCCTTTTGCTTTGAGACTTCCTCAAGACGTTGTTTTAGTTTTTCTTCTTCCTCCTTAGCTCTTTCGAGATCTCTCAGCAACTCTTCGTTTTCCGTTACAATGGATTCTTGTTCTTTCTCCATGATTTCTTTCTCAGCTGACATGGAATCAAACCAACTTTTCAGTTGTTCGATCTCTTCAGCGCTTCGTTTCAGCTGTACCTCAAGCGCCTTTTTCTCCACAGACAGTTCAGTGTAGCGTACATCAAGCCGCTGTTGGTCATCAGGTGACACACTTTGAAGCAAAGAACTTGCCCCACTTGAGACTAGCAACTCCGTATCATCGATCGGTTCTTCTAGAGCTAAGGACACAACTGTTTCATAGGCAGGCGGGCTGCTGCCGTACTCCGAAGCCGTTGTAACTTGTATTTCGTCTCCGGATTCCGACGATTCCTGAAGACCATCGCTTGAGTCGAGAGGACTTCCCTCCATAACGCTCGCCTCAAGCCGTTCTTCTTGCGAAGAGAGCTTACTTGTTTTCAACATTTCTAGCTGTTTCTTTAGTCCGTCGTTCTCCAAATGCAGGCGATTGATAACCTCTTTTTCTTCGTCTCTGGCACTCACGTCGCTCGCTTCTTCCACGCTCTGGTCAGCTTCAATTTGAGCGCCAGTAACTTTTTCTTTCAACTTAGCCTCGGACGTCTTCAGCGTTTGAAACTCGTTCGTGATGTCAAGCAGCGCTTCTTTAAGGGCATCTCGCTCCTCAGCCATTCTATAAAGCGACTTCTTCAAACTTTGAACCTCTGCAGAAGCCTCCGTCATGGACTTGCTGTTTTCGTGCTGCTTACACAACGCATCTTCCAGTTGGCATTGCAGACTCTCCTTGCTTTGATAAACGTTTTCTAAAGCATCAGCTAAGTTGGTCTTCTGCTGTCTGATCTCATCCATTTGTTCTGACATCGCCTCTTTCTCCTCGGTGAGTTTCGTAATAAAACTCTTTACTTGCCGTCGCTTTTCGTCAAGTTCTCGCACGTATTTTTGAAGGGACATTTTTTCCGTTTGAGACGTTTCAAATTTCGTCTTCAGCTTTTCTTGTTCAACTTTTACCCTCCTGAGTTCTTTCTTGAGAAGCGTGACTTCTTTGTGGACTTTTTCAGTCAGTGAGATTATGCTGTTGCCTTGTTCTTCCAAGGATATCGATTCTTGAAGTTCAGCATCGTGTTCTTCAGAAGTACTATCTTTATCTTTGTCTGTCAGAGCCTCGTAAAGCTCTGACAGTTTCGCATGAATCGATGTCATCTGTTGTTTGGCTTTGTCAGTGCTTTCAACGCCAGCTGTAACCGACTCGAATTCGGTCTTTAAACGCTGATATTTCCCCTTCAAATCGTTCAGTTCGTTTTCCGTCATCTCAATCTTCTTTTCTAAGGTTGTCTTTTCTTCGGTGATTTCGTCCAAAGACTCGGCAAATTCTTGCTTTTCTTCGTGTGCTTCGCGAAGGCATTCTTGAAGCGTGTCCGAAACTTCTTGGTTCTTTTTCAACTGATTCTTCGACGATACGCATTCGTTCCTTAATTGCTGTACTAGCTCTCGCAGTTCCTTTTCGCTTTTGCTACTCTCGTCCAGTTGTCCTTGAATTTTCTCTTTCTCCTTTTCAAGTTCAAGTACACGCTCTTCTAAGCTTTGTACATGTTCATTAAGTCGAAGCTTGTTCGTTCGTGACTCGTCTTCAGTCTCTTCTGCGATAGAACCATTTTCGTGTACGTAATCGTCACTGTCTTGAGGACAAACGTGATCGAAATTCTCGCTTTTCAAAACGTTCCCATTTACATCTCTATCCCGGTCACTTGTGGTAAAATCTTGTTGTTTGTTGAGTAGGTTTGTTGACGATTCTTGCAGCCCGTTAGCGCCATTGTATTCTTTAATTACACTATTGAGTTTATCGATTTGCACCTCCAGGGACTCGTTCCTTTCGAGTTGATGATACAACGAGTCCAGCAAACAAACCTTTTCCTCTTCTAAGTTAGAGTTGTCGGACTTGAGCCTTTTAATGACATTTTCCAACTCAGTTCCGCGCTTGGTAAGGCGAAGGATGTCTTGTTTAAGAAACTCGCATCGCTCGACCGAAGTCTTTCGACTTGGTAGCATGCTACCGGTGCTGTTGTACTCCGGTGGCGTCTTCTCGCCCCGCTTCGTCCGCAGAATTACCACCTCTCGCTTTAGCTTGATACAGCTATCTTCAATGTCTCTTTTGTCCACTTGAAGTTGTCGTATTTGGGCTCTTTGTGAATCTATTAATTCTTTGCATGTCTTGATTTCGTTCAAAAGGCTCGAGTTATGAAATTTTTGCGAGGTGTCCCTGGGGAGACACGTTTTTTGTATATTGTTCACCGCTTGGCTATTGATTTCATTGAGCTTTTCAACTTCGGTACTTAAAAAGTCCACAACATCCTCAAGGGAGTCCTTTCTTTCTATTTCATCCAGAATGGCCTCTAAGTGATCCGTATTCTTCTTTAAAAGTTCAACAAAGCTGTCACGTAGCTTCTTGTTGTCTGTCTCCGCAAGTTCTAACTTACTTTGAATGTCCTCTTTTTCCCGTTGTATATGTTCCATTTCTTCCAGACTAGAATCCAAGGCGTCAGTTATTTGGTTTCTCAACTTGTCCGTGCTGTCCTCGAGTACTCTTTTTTCCTCCGTCAGTTTGGCACTTTCTTCCTCCAGGGATTTATTTTCTTCCTCTAGCTCGTCGACTTCCGCTTGTAGTTCGGTCACACGCTTTCTGAGTTCTTCAAGTTCATTCGATAGCGAAACGCCTTGATTCGCCACTTGGCCAAGGATGTTAATTTTACACTGAACCGCGGCATCACAAGTGTCTATGTCGTTGTCTTTCTTCTCGCTATTGCTCTCTCGGCTTTGCAGTCTAACAACTGTCGCTAGCAAGACTTTTCTTTCTTTCTGTAGGATGGCAAGTTCAGATGAAGCAGAACCGTCGCCATGTTTAGCAATAAATGGAGATTCCACGTTTGTAAGTGAAGCCATCTCCTGGTCCAAAAGCCCACGCTCGATTAATTTGTCCTTAATCATTTTTAATTGCTTCTTAAAGCTTTGGTTTTCTAATTCCAATTTCTCCAGTCTGGTTAAACCATCACTGCCTCTTCCATCCTCGTTTTCTATCACGTTTCCATTTGCCCTCAGCTGATTTGTCAACAATTCCATGTCATTTGTCCACTTTTCTTTGTCGGTTGCAATTCGCTTCTCGCTCGTTCCCTCAAGTTCTTTCAAGGACAGTTTCTGTTTCTGGTTGTCATCTTGATTCTTTTCTAGACAGGATGCAGCCCCATTCAAGCTCTTATATCCATTGTTTCTATTTTCCTCTAGTGTCAACAATTCTTGCACTTGTCCTAGGTATCTCTCAAGGACTTTCACTTCACAGTTCAGGTCAGTGGTACTGTTTTGAAGCTTTTCAACCAACTCAGGAGGGAACAATTCATAGAGCCTGCTACGTTCTTTGGAAGCCTCCGTTTCTTTGCAAACCGTTTCATGTAGAGAAACCAGCTGGGACTGCAAGCGGTGACCTAAGCTGGTCATTTTAGACGTCAATTCTTTAAGTTTTACACCTCGCACTGCATACGCACCGTTCTCTGATCCATTCCGTTGGTTTGCTTCAAGCTGGTCTGTTTCTGTATCTTCATTTTCTGTGAACGTACGATCAATGTCTTGATAATCTAGCGCAGCGTTTTCATGGATCCTGCAAAACGAAATATAAAATAGACAGTTCATATTGCGACACTCGAGGATGCTTTTATGACGTACCAATTGTAACATAAAATTCACGCTTTGGGGTTCGTAAGTAAAGTATTTCATCTGTTGTATAAGTTAAGCTCCAATAAGAATTAATAACAAATATTTGGTCTTTGAAGATGAATAATTAATAGCTAACATATTGTACAGAGGTACTGCGAAATAACATTTCAGAAGAAAACATTATGTAGACAAATGGAAATATGGGATTAAATAACCTGTGATGAGATTTTTCTGCTAGAAAAAAACAAAAGAAGTAGGGTTTTTTTATAAAGATTATGTCGATGGAATAGTACAAAGCTACAACATAGTGAACAATTTGAAAGAAAATCTATAAGCAAAAACATGGTGCATTTATTTTGCGAGGACAGTGGGAGCAAACGTTCTGTTGATAGCCAAGGCGCAATTTTGAAGTTTTCAAATTAAAAATACTTGAAAATATCGAATTCTTTAATTATATTAGTGAACTTTAGTTATATAATCGCAGTTTAAAGACAAAAGAAATAACAAATTGGAATGATAGCGCATTTGTGATCAACATGTCGGGTTTTAAACCCTTTTATTCGATGGAAGCCTAGCGACAATTATATAGTGAGAATTATTGAGTATTGTGTCCACAAGATAAACTGTAGCTGGCGTTTTGAGATATGTATAACTTTCAAAGTGTCGATGACATCTCAATTATTTTAATCCCGAGGCCCTCTTCACGCCTCGAGCAAAATTATACTGACTACGAGCAGTTTGGCTTGGTTTATTAAGCGAGGTAGATGTAACTGCCTTGTAGCGATCTGTATGTATATAGAGGATATTACACGGTGGCGAGAAGATATGAATTTTATGTTCGAGTGGCAAGAACAATATCTCACGAGTGAGCGAAGCGAACNATACGGAAAATACGCCACTCGGGTCCCGGATGAAGTGGCGTATGGAATCTACGAGTGGTTTAGTTCCCAGTAAAACACTCTTCTCCATATAATAAAAGTTGATAAATCTCTGGTAAGTTAATTTGCCTTTGCAAGCAAAGGAAGTATCAATCATACCCGGTTATATGGCTTCATGCTTTGTAAACTATCTAATTTACTGTCGTTTTGTTTGAGTCCTTCACAGCTTGAAAACCGTCAAAAATTTGTTAGATCCAAAACTTAAAATTGCTGTATACTATAGCTACAATATCAAGTGTTTTCTCTCCGTGGAAAGTTTAATTCCAAACGATTAAATGTAGTCATTAGCTGAAACAGATGTTTTTAGACCTGTTTATAAAGATTAGGCCTTAAAGGGCTTTAGAAAACATAAAACAAATAGATTAAATCAAAACTAACCTGGTTCGCTTATTCCTCAAGACATTCATTCTCGCTAGATACGGCGTTTTGGCTTAAAGATGGCAGAAGTGAGTGACTTCGTTTGTTTTCAGCCGAATTGTACGGAAACAGCGTTGTTTATAAAATTGTACAAGCCGTCGAAATGCGATGTTAACAATGTCATATTATCATAAACTAATTAGGCTTTGAATGCCACGCGTTTGAGTAGAAAACAAAGTATATTCAATGAGCGCATTGACCGAAACAATTGATTTGGAATTATTATCATCGCCCGGCTTCCCAAGGGAAACAGTCCCTCGCTTGAGCGACGGAGAAATGCTTGATCAGTTTTATCTAATAATAAGGCAAATGATAAAGAATGTGCATCTTGTTTTGCAAGTAGTCCTAGATAACGTAGAGATAAAGGCACAGTTTCTTGCCTCTGACGTGCTAAATCAAATATACCGTGATCTATTCAGTGAGGTTGCCGCCTTTGAAATGCCTATGACGAGAAAATTTATGCGAGAAATGGCTTTAGCTAAAGTTTGTTCTTTATTATCCCTTTCAATCTTTTTCGGTTTTAACAATCCTTGTTTCTTTTGCTTTTTCATAACGTCTTTAGGGTCCGCTCCATATAAAACTAATTTTGAAACTCGAAAAAAATTACAATTTATTGCGATAAAGCTTTTTTCACAAAACTTTAATCTACAAGTGTCGTTCGGTAGGTCAGTCTGTCTGTCCGTCCATCCGTCCGTCAGTCAGTCAGTCAGTTAAACAGTAAGTCAGTCAGTCAGTCAGTCAGTCAGTCAGTTAAACAGTAAGTCAGTCAGTGGTTGTATCATTCATTAATTCATTGATTTGGTCGGTCGGTCAGCCAGTCAGTCAAGCAGTCAGTCATTCAAGCAATGAGACAGTCAGACCATTTGTCAGTCAGTCAATCAGTCAGTCAGTCAGTCAGTCAGTCAGTCAGTCAGTCAGTCAGTCAGTCAGTCATAACAACAACCAAAGCCAGCAGCAATCAAAGCGATCGATCAAACAATCACCGGTTTAGTTCTAAAGAAACTCAGTTTAAACTGCCATGGGGCATTTGCTCAAAAGACAAATGCAGGAAATCTTCCCTCAATTATGAAATTAATGACCGAAATACTCCTTGTATTTGAACATTGTCGAGGATTCCGAATAAAAATTTAAATCACGGGCCTCGCGTTTTTAAGTTTGCCCATATTATGATTCATTTTGATCCATTTCAATGAATTTTGTGCCAGTGAATTAGTGTAGAATAAGGAAAGTATTCAGCATACCTTTGTTTTCACTCGCTGATATAGTTATAGGACCTTATAGCCTGCAATCCGTCACAAACTGCGTTGGTATGAACAAAAATCATGGGTGGCAAAGAAATGACTATTTGTTAATATTACCGGTACAGCGCAAACCTCTTTTTGATATTTTACGATGAGGATCAGGGCAGATATTCTTAAATGATGTCAGCTTCCTCCCTATAAAATAGTCGATCGATACTGTTGAGGTCAACAAGCGGCAGGCGTTTTTTAGGCCTCGTCCACAATACGCCGGAGAAATTAGAAAACGCAGCTTTATTTCTACGGTTAGGCCTACCATCCACGCTAAGCCGTCACGAAAACGGAGCTTTCCGAAAACGCACTTCAAACCGATGGAATTTGAAAACGCCGACTTTGCGTTTTAGTTTGGACGGAAAACATTTGAAAACGGAGCTTTTTGAAAACGATGACGTCACGGTTATCAGGTAATTTCTCTGCCCGAGTTTTCCTCAAACACAAATCAAAAATGACCGGTGATTGTTGCGTTTCTTAATTTCTCCAGTGTAGAGTGGACGGAAAGCATTTGATGCGTTTTCAGAGTGAAAACTCTGTTTCCAAATTTCTTTGGCGTAGTGTGGGACGGGCCCTTGCGTGATTTAAGCGGTGCCAGAATCAGTTAAAGTTACTGGACTGTCCGCCGTCAATAGCTAAAAATGGCGACGGCTTTCAAGTGGGAAGCCATATTGGAGCTCGTAAAAGAACTATTTTTAAAGCTGTGCGAAATTCCAGTTTCTTTCATCAATTGTATCCATAATTGATCTCGATTAAGTTAGCCTGACTCAAGTAACTTGGTCTAAGTGAAATCTTGACTCCTAACTCAAGGCAGGGCACTAAAACATACTTCGTCCTTATATCTCTAAGACGTGGAAAACGATTCAAAATAGAACGCCTTCAATTTAATGAGAGTTTTTCAATACGTGTTCAGAACCTAGGCTATCAATATTAAAATATGTTTAATTGATTTGATCTTTCCGTCCCTTGTCAAATCCATGATTTACATTTATTCTAATTACCGGCGTTCATTTCTCTTAAACACATGCAGACAGTCACTTATTTGCTTTCTAGTCTAGTTGGAAGTGTTTGCCCAAGTTTAAAACTCGTGTGAAATATTTTACTACTATACACAAGACATAGGAACTAATTACTGTAATTAGTACACCGCTCGTAAGTTTGTCGGCGAAAGACAGAAATAAGTATAAATCTAACACTGACTAACAATGTTGTGAAGTGATGCTGTAATTTTGCGTGGGTTTCGCTGTGAGTGCTAATAAGTTATACAATTAATTTTCACAAAGGATGCTTTGGTGTAAACTGTGTTGATGAAAGTTTTTTTCGGATTACAAATGATAAACGGTGGGCTATTGTTTTCGCGGTTTTTTTCACGCCTGGCTAAGTCACAAGAAACGTTTCTGCGAACCCACTAACTAAAACGGTCGATCACATATCGTGATATCTTCTGTAATGAAAATTTGAATCGCAGCAACATCACTGGGCATGTAATGAACTTGCGGTTTGATAATAAAGCTTTCCGGCAACGCGCACTCATAAAGCAACGTTAATTTAGCTAGCGCTTAAGGCTATAACTTAATGAAAATAGCAACTGTTACGAAAATGGAGGCTTTAGAGATTCATTGTTAAACGATTAGTAATTATCTGGGTTAAAACCAGTTGAGGGCTGCATCTTAACATATGGAGAAACCGTGTATCAAGTACATTGTTGAGAGTTTCTATTTACAATATTTAAACGAACTGATGTTGAAATTTCGCTCGACTGTGCGAGTGAAAAGCGCACATTAATTGTGTACTTTCGCAGCTCCTATAGTTGAATTAGTAATCCTAGTTCTGCCCAAGTGAAAGGAGAGTAAAGCGGACCATTCGTGATCAGTTATTAAGCGGCTAGGTGACCTTGTGAAGTAGTTAGTTGCAAAATTATCGTCATTTTGTCCGAAAGTTAGGGCTAATCTATCGGTGTTTGCAAACACAACACATTATCCAAGTTTTCTTTACAACTTTTCAGTCGACTTTGTCAACTCCAGAGCGAGAGAATGCACAAACAAGTTGAAAATTTCAGTACGTTTCGAAAACTTAATCGACATTGTAACTGTGATTAACGTTGACGCTCAAATAAAGTGGGTAATAAAAGAGGGATAAAGGTCGGATTATTTAAATCACTTAAAGGAGCGAAAATCTGGTTAAAGAGTTGAGCAAACTTGAGCAAACTTGAGGAAAATTTCACATGAAACAGGCCGAGTTCCAAAGACGTTTGCGTCTGTCGATATAGAGCCCTAGTGTTGGAATTTAGCGATCGCTTT